GAGAAGAGGAGGGGTGAGGAGGACATGAGGGAGCAGAAAGGTTGAGTCAGGGGAAGAATAGATGATAACAAGAATGGAGATATCATAATAGAGGGAGACATTTCAGGTTTACAGAGAAATCAGGCACTAGGGAAATGTCTGGAGATCTACAAAGATGACACCAGCTAACAATCTAAGCAACAGAGGAGAGGCTACCTTAAATGCCCTCCCCTGATAATGAGATTGATGACTGACTTATATGCCACCAGATAGCCCTCATCCAGCAGCTGGTGGGAGTAGAAGCAGACACCCACAACTAATCACTGAACTGAACGGGAATCCAGTTGCAGAGAAGGATGAAGAGCAAAGGGGGTCAGACCAGGCTGGTGAAACCCACAGAAACAACTGACCTGAACATCACTGAAATCCAGTTGCAGAAAAGGAGGGCTGATGAGCAAAGGGGTCCATACCAGGCTGGTGAAACCCACAGAAACAGCTGACCTGAACTAGGGAGAGTTCTTGGTCCCCAGATTGATAGCAGGGATACAGGCATGGGACTGATCCAGACCCCAGGAACATGGGTTTCAGTGAGGAAATCTCGGAAAACTACAGGACCTCCCGTAGTAGTTCAGTACTTATCCCTAGCATAGATGTGGACTTTGGGAGCCCATTCCACATAGAGGAATACTCCCTGAGCCAAGACACACGGGAGTGGGTCTAGGTCCTATCCCAAAGGATATGATAGACTCTGATGACCCCCTATGGAAGCCCTCCCCCTCCCTGGGGAGCCTTAGGTAGGGTTTTAGTTGGGGGGGTGGTAGGGGTGGACGAGAGGGAGAAGAGAACTGGGATTGTCATGTAAAACAATCTTGTTTCTAATTCAAATAAAAAAATCTGCAAAAAAATAAATAAAAATAAAAATGTAATTAAAAAAAACAGTGGGAGGAGAGAATGGACCCTAGACAAAGGTGTCCTATGACCCCCATGTGTGTGCTATGGCCTTCAGGTGAAGGGGGACACACACACACATACAGGAGCATTCTCAAGGGTGTGCAAGCACACATACACACACACACACACACACAAACACACACATGCAGAGTCTTTTTTGAAAGTTATCATTTAAAAGTTATATTAAAATTTTTGCAATTTATTACATTTCATGACTCCAAAAGGTTAATAAATACCTCTCTATGTTGTCCATTTAAAAACCAATAAGCAATTTAGGACAAGGGCTGGTTGTTCTCAAACCAGCAATAGCTGGATGAGGGCTATTGCGTGGCATATAGGTCAGTCATCAATCTCATTATCAGGGGAGGGCATTTAAGGTAGCCTCTCCTCTGTTGCTTAGATTGTTAGCTGGTGTCATCTTTGTAGATCTCCAGACATTTCCCTAGTGCCTGATTTCTCTGTAAATCTGAAATGTCTCTCTCTATTATGGTATCTCCTTTCTTGTTATCATCTATTCTTCCCCTGACTCAACCTTTCTGCTCCCTCATGTCCTCTGCATCCCTCCTCTTCTTCCCTTCTCATTCACCTAGCTCCCTCCCCCCTCTTCCTGTGCTCCCAAACGATACATAGATAGAAAGTATCTTACTATGAATATAAAACAACATTAATAAACAGAGCCAAAGCACACAAAATTCCATCACTGGTGAAAAAGGAAATTGTGGTAATTGTCAGCTTTTCTATTGTTCTTCCCAAGAAGACAAACATCTCATAAACGAATGTGGAGAAGTATCATGGGAGTCAAGAGCCAGTGTCTTCCTATTGCTCACTGCCTCTAAGGAGGACCCAGAACAGGAGTTAATCCATGAGAATCCTAGTCTGGGGAGACCATTTTCACCCCACTCGCCTGCTCAGCAGATATCTATATATTATCTTCTCAAAGGGTTGGTGTCATGTGACACGGAGGATGGCTCAGAAGACACAAGAAGAGGGAAGCAATCTTGATATTATAATCTCTAAGCAAACAACAAATATAGTACCTATCAAGTTCTATAAACAACATAATAATAAGAACATTCGGGGATTGTGAATGGTTATAGCCCTGACAGGGCTGACGATATCAAGAATTTGTTGGATAGTTAAGAGTGGAATTGTTAAGATAAACAAATGTCCTTGTTTTTCATGGATAAAAAAATAAATATTCAGGGATGAAGTACTCCACAATATTCTTTTGAAATATGTCAGTAAGAAACTACTTAGCTATTGAAATGGTCAGCTATGAAGTTCACCACTTATCTATTACCTTTCCTGATCTTGTGAAAGTCTCAACAGGAGGCATCACTTGGTCCATGCATTGTTACACTTGCACAGGTTGTCTCTACAAAACCTTACACAGGGTTTGAGAATGAATATTGACAGAAGATAAGGAAGCAGGCAATGAGGACAAATGCATATCCTAGGTTTCTGGCCAGTTGCTTAGATCAAAGGTAAACAAGGATGTAGCATGATAAATAAATGAACCAGAGACTGACATTGGGGATCAGGCTTCAAGCTGAAGATGACAAAAGCAAAGCAGCCGGCTACTGGTTACTAGCTCTTATCTCTACCTCAGACTGAAAGGCGATCCTGGCTCCACCAAACCTCAGACTAATGCCTCTCCTCAGCATGGATGGAGAATCCTGAGACTTCAATGTCTTCCTATCCTCAATGTGGCTGGAGAATGAACACTCTTTCTGAGACCCTGTTTCTGTCTTAAATACCTCTCATGATTCCTGGGATTAAAGGGGTATAATCCCAGGTGCTGAGATCATCATTGTGTGAGCTGTTTCTCTTTAGGACTGGATTATTTCTTGTACCTCAGTGAAGCCTTGAACTAACATAGATCTGTCTACTTCTTAATCCTGAGTTCTGAGATTTAAAGTGTGTGCCTGGTTTCTATGGTTTGTGGATGCCTTTGATATCTGAATTCTCAGGCAAGCGTCAATAAATCATAAATAATATGTCACCACACAAGGAGGAAAAGACTTTATTTTGGCACAGTTCCAAAGTATAGTCCCCCATTACAGGAAAGCCAAGGCAGGAAGCTGGTTACATCCAGTCAAGAGAACAGAGAGGATGAATGCATGCATGCCTGCCAGGGCTCAACTCACTTTCTCCATCCTCATGCCACCCAGGACCCAAGCCCAAAGAATGGTGTGGCCTGTGATGGGCTGGGTCTTTCTGCATCACTTTTTACATCTATAACTTAATCTAGATAGTCACACACTGAGATGTCCTCAAGGCACCCTGACTACAATTCCTCATAGAGACTCTGCTAGATGATTCCATGTAACTCTAGACTGTGTCAACTTGACAATTAGAACTATCCACCACAGACAGGATAGGATAAAAACAGAGAGAAAGGCTACAGGAAATAACAGGCACAAAACAAGTAAAAGTAAATGCTGAAGAGGCCAAGTACAACCCTGAAGGAAATAAATGCAGAGTGAATCACAGAGTCAGAGTCCTCCATCTCTCGTCCTATGTCAGTCCAGAAATACAATCAAACAACAAAGGAGCAAGTCTTGTAGCAGAAGAGACAATAAATAGAAGAAAGCCCTTGTCAAATTTTCTAGAGAGTGAAGATTTCAGGCTGAAGGAAGAGGAAGTTCATGTGAGGAACACATGGAAAAGGCCATGGAAGGAACACACAGAGATGGTCATGTGAGGCACACACAGAGATGGTCATGTGAGACACACACGGAAATGGTCATGTAAGGAACACTTTTCCCTACTGAATCACATTCCATTCCCAGGATTAACCATTGCTAAGATGGCTTCCCAGCTTAATTTTCTCTTTATATCATGTGACCAGCC